TTCTATGTTGTTTGTAGGATGCTCGGTTATCTGTAAGTCATTTTGTTTAATATTTTAACTTAAAATCTACATTACTTAATTTATCATATTGGTATATGTATTATTGTGTCACAAATTGTCACAAATTATCACATTCCTTTCAATTACTGCTAGATATTGTTGGGGAATGATTATTCTTTTCATGTATTTCCTATTGCTATACTTTTTAGTCACATTCTTGATATTGAAAAATTACTGTCTGATTTAAACCTCTAAAGTGGTACAGATAAACCAGTATAACATTGTGAGCAAAACTCTTCAAGTTTAAGCCATTCATTAGGGGATGGTGTATGTACACTTGATGTTTATTATCAATAACTGGGTCTATACATGTCCCAGAATGTTTCAAAATATGACGGGTGTTTCTGTGAAATATAACCATGTAACTCTGAACAAATTGATACAGAAAGTTTCTCAACAGAATCTTGTAGCAGTTTTACTAACATACTAAAAGTCTATTATTGTGAAATTAAACTTTTGGCAGCCATTTTGGACGCAATCTTGCTTAGATTTGACCTGTTCTTAATGATATCAGCATCAACAGTTTCTATGGGTATGAAAACTTATGTATAAACAACAATATCATCTTCCTATGTAAAATAACAACTGGGTTATTGAAAGGGTGGGTTTTAAAAGCCAACCGCGTACCGCTGCCAACTGGCATACCGGAGTGAAAAAAGGCGCTAAAATGAGCATTGTTAAATTCAAGGATCGTAGATTTTCATACTACAAAACGAAACTATTCAATTTGACGGAATTTTTGTTGACGTCAATATTATGGAATCAAAATTATTTTAAAAATGAAACGAAACAAATTAATATTCCTTTTCTTGCTTTGAGATAATTTCCTTCACATTTTCTGATTTCGTGTTTAAAATATCAATAATCCCTTTTAAAAATAAAATGGGGCTCACAATAATACATACAAAAACCTTTTTTTTAATGATCATAACTTGCTCATTTTTGTACTTTCAGCCTTTTACTGTTATGATTGCATCAGAGTACAAGATACAAGGAATGAGAATTCTGTCATGTTAATCTTCTTGCCAATAAACCAATCAGCCGTTTAGACTCAATGTTAGGACCCACCACGTGGGTGAAGCATTACATTATAAGCTTTCGACAGTCATCTGGGACACCATATTAATTTGACCCCTATGCATGCTCCGATTTTGGTAGATTTTTAGTATGTTATTAAGCAGAAAAATGCCACTATAATCCGTTCTGAAACCTGTATCAATTTGTTCAGGGTATACTCAAAGAATGACCAATGTACATAAATATCTGAAACAAACTTTATGGTGCCAAAATGCGTACAGATGAGCATAAATTTCATGGATTGTCTATAGACGAGCCTATAAAATCACATGTTTATTTTCTAGTGCTGCAAAGAGAGATACATCTGATGTAGATTATGGATCAGGTTCAGGCAATATTTTATTATCAGATGTAGAGTGTTTTGGAAATGAAACTAGTCTAAATGAATGTGAAAAATCACCATGGAGACAACATTCTTGTCAATCATTTGAAGCTGTAGGTGTGGATTGTAGGGTGGAAAAAGGTAAAGAATAGGTTTATACATGTACATGTAGAAAATCCTGACAAATTTCTGAGTTTTCTCAAAGTAAAATTGTTTTATGAAATATATTTTTCATTTCCTTGAACAAAAAGATTTATTTATACAATTTATTTGAATATATTTTGATATTTTTCAGGATGTGATACTGAACAATTCCTATGTGATAATATGAACTGTATAAAAGGAACTTATGTTTGTGATGGTGAAAATGATTGTTCAGATAATTCAGATGAAAAGAATTGTAGTAAGTTTAGATACACTTATTCTCTCAATAAACATGAAAAATGAAATCTAACTGAAAACATGTTCCAATTTTATAATTATTTTTGACACCATGCTATGTTACTTCTGATTAAGTATCATTCATAACAAAGAAACTTTGGGTAAATGGAGTTTGTGTCCCAAAATATGTGTGTTATTTTTTCCTAACTATATGGACACTCAGTGAGGTGAAATTAGAATCGTAGCAGTTGATCTGCAAAGAATTGCTTTAAATAATAGCCATAGAGTAATATCCAGGTTCACGGTTTTGTTGCAAGGCTAAAATTGCTCTTTCACTGTATTTACCAATCATATCTGAATAAGACCCTTAGAATTTTAAATGCTTAGGGGATGCTACTAGAGTTCTGAATATAGGGCCTACATGAATTATGTTATTTTGTAGAAACAATAGTTGAATTAGTTAACGGTACTAAACCTAATGAAGGTCGTGTAGAGATTATAAGAAATGGTATTAGAGGTACAGTATGTGATGATGACTGGAATAATGAAGACGCCAGTGTTATATGTAATCGGCTAGGTTTTCCGTAAGTCTTCTGAATCTTTGCAGAAACAATGATATACAACTAACACTACTATTATAAACCATTAAAATTATGTCTAATGATTGACATGTACAGGTGAATTGAAACAGTAGCAAATCTTTCTTTTTTCAAAAAATAAACTTTTTTGAGTTTATCATTGTAAATTTAACAAATCCTTAAAATTGTGCCAAATCAATTAGATACTAGTGAAGGCTTTATTTTTGTGGATTTCATTATATAAGTGTGTTTTGATCATTTGTGCATAACTGAACAGATTCTACTATTATTACAATTATTTTGGTATAGTTAGACACGTTTTGTATCTTTTAGACGTGGTGGTAAAGCTGTAAATAAAGCACATTTTGGTGAAGGTAGTGGTATTATATGGTTGGATAATGTCGCCTGTTCTGGTGTTGAAGATTCAATAGATGATTGCAGGCCTTACTGGGGAATTCATGATTGTGATCATAATGAAGATGCTGGAGTCATTTGTTTAGAGGGATCTCTTCCAGGTATACATGTACAGAACTGTCAGCTTTTTTGGATTGCTCAAAGGTTGTTTTGACTGATTCAAGACACTGTATGGTTTACCCAGAAAATTATATAACTGATAACTGCAACAATAATCCTTGCGCCTTACTTGGATCTCCAAAAATGGAATAGACTTGCCTGCCTCTCAGTTTTTGTGTTTTATATTTGACCTGTAGAATTATGTGCACAATTAATGAGTTATCTGTCCTTTATCTTCTCTGTGTAGAGGTTATTAGTTATCCTCTGTTTGAGTTTTTCCTGAATAATTATATATACACTATATAATTGGACATATAGATATTTTTATATTAACAAAATTATCATATATATATATGTTTATACCAATGTCAATAAGATAATATACTATACTATACTATCTGTATAGTGCAGATAGTGAACTATTAATACTTATTCTCTGTGAAGTAATTTAAAGATTTTCAGTATGTATTAAAGATTGGTTCCCTGTACCGTTCTTACAATGCAGTGTCAATGTAACGCTTTTCTTTTTGTCAGCTTCACAATGTGGCAATAGACCATTTGAGGACACCCCAACTGGAAGTCGATTTAAAAGAGAAGCTGATTTTACCAGGACTCAGAAAATTGTTGGTGGTGATTTGGCAGTCTATGGCATGTATCCATGGCAAGTTGGATTCATTAGATATTATGATTATGTTCATTTGAGAAAACCTTTTTGTGGGGGAACTATTATATCTGATACATGGATACTAAGTGCTGCTCATTGCTTTACGTATGTATTTCTATGTTGCAGCCTTTTTTCTTGCTTATATCACTCTTCATCCCTCATTACACAATTATACAATCCTTTTAGAGCTAAAGTTCATTACCTCATGCACTTGTCACTGTTGCTGGTCTTTTTATTATTCCAACTATATATCAGCCTTGCTGCAAGCAAAATCCACTTAATTTAACATCAACTTTATCAAGTATACAAAAGCAATGATTTGACTACATCAGCTGCCATTTTTCATACATATATTTATTTCACTATCTCATCAATGATAAAAAGGTATGCTCTATTTTTCTGTTTTAACCAAACTACCTGTAACAATTTCTTTCTTTACTTTCAATAATCAGTATTTGATGCGTTACATGTTGTATTCTCTTGTTCAACTCAAAATTCTGAAACAAAGTTATATCTCTAATCTATGGAATCTAAGCTCTAATTGACTGTATTCACTGGCGTAAAATCTTATCCCATCGTTGCATTATGTTTAATACAAGAATAGAATGCATTACACTATCGGTATACGGTGGCTTGTGAAGAATGAAAAATAAAGGTACATGCCATTGGATAAAGCCATTCAGGACAAATTCCATTTGATAAGATAAAGACTGTTTTTATTATTGAAGGATTAAATAAGGAATATGGAATAATACATGTAAATATACATCTCGTATATCTGGTGGTTTTATTGTCACTCATGGTCCTTTACCATGGCATTGTGGTGGTACAATACTTACTGATATTGACGGCTACTCAGTGCTTTGAGTAATTCTAACACAAATTGATGAAGGTGCATATTTCTTTGAAAGTTTGGCAATATTTCCTTACAATTTTTGAATGTATTTTGCATGCTGCTCCTATGAATCTGATTTGTTTTTTTTGTTTGGTAATGACACATTGAATTATAAATGCAAACTTAGTTACATTCAAACTAAGTTTAATAACCACTTTGTCTGATCTTGATTGGAATACACAGCTGTTCTTCATTCTTACTTTATATTTTTTGAGTTAAATTAACCAATCAGAATATATATTGGCTTGTGAAGTTATTGAAGAAATCTGTTAATGTATGGAACTGAATGATTCCTCAATAGATATTTTTATTATGGCTTGTAATTGATTTTCATGCATATTCAGTCCAGCAATCTTCATGCATGCTTTTTCTTTTATCAGTTGTTGAAAGACATGTTGAAATTTCAGATATGGTCTTTCTGCATGTGTATGTTTTCCATTATATAACGTTGTTTTATATCTTTTGAATGTTGTTATCTTTTTTAGCACAGATTTCTTTGTAACTATTTTTGCATCCACTGATCTTTCCATCCACATTAGCTATTTAAGGCTATAGAGTCATCTGTTTTTCATGCAAATTAAAATTGAGGTTAGCTCATAATGATGCAGAAGATGTCATGTTCTAAACTAGTTTTCAATCATTGAATGTAACTTAGGAATACAAAAAACTGAAAGCCATGTAGAATTTGAGGAACATTTTTTGTTATTAATTTGGACGTCAGAAAGGAGCTTGAATACTTGTTGTAGTGATCAATGATTTTATCAAATTTAGTATTGTATGTAGGCCCCTAATTGATTTTAAATGAAAAGTCTACCAAACCAGTAGACATTAATTCAGGTAATGAAAACTCTGGTTATATTTCTAGTCGTCTGAGAAAGAATCGTATATTAGTAAGAGTTGGTGATCATCATAATCAAAAAGAAGACTTAGATGAGCAACATTTTGAAGTTGAAGAACTTATTCTTCATGAAAATTATCAACGTAAGTCTTATATACATGATTTGTTTTATGATTAAAGCCTTTAGAACTTTTAGTTTTCCTAAAGAGCATTTTAGCTTTCTTTTTTGCCTTAGGCAAAATGACATATAAAACCCAGTTTAACTTAAAATTGAACACTCATTTATGGGATATTATAATGTCACAATGTTGAAAGAAAATGTAAGTAAAGGACGTTGCTAGCTAAGAGAATTACTGATTCTGTAAATAGTTGTGCACAGCTCCCCTGATCATTGGTTATTTTCCCTACACGAACAAACATAGAGTATCATTATTTTAAGAGGTAGAAATATATATTGGTTCCACAGTCAGTCAAATACTATGTTGATACAATCTTATTACATGTGAGAAAAAAAAACCCACTGATTATTCATATTTTTGGCTTCTAGCTTCTACATATGATAATGATATAGCATTAATAAAAATAAAGCCTAATCGAGCTGGTAAAAGAATAATATTTAGTAATTATGTACAACCGGCCTGTCTACCATCTAGTAATCAACTATATAAAGTCGGAGAGAGATGTTTGATATCTGGTTGGGGTAAACGTGGTGATGGTAAGTACATTTTACTGTTTAAAAATTAAAGGGATTGTAAAGAGGTTTTCTAAATTTTTTATGTGCATCCGTGACTCTGATAGCATCAATTTGCAACATTCCAATTTTCAATCAAAAGTGTTTGTTTCCTGCAATTCCACTAAATTTGAGTTTTTGTTGACATCACTAATCACAAAACATGCTTTGTCACATACATCCCTTGAGATTATTGTCGTCATCAAACACTTAGTTGAGTGGAATTGCAGGAGCCACAGACCTCTGATTGAAAATTGGAATGGTGCAAATTGATGTTATCAATGTCCTTGATACATTAAAGAAAATTAGAAAAGCAAGCGAGCTAACTGAACAGTATGACTTTTTGGCTCTTGTCATGTAAATAATCATCTGTTTTTAATTCACTCAAGTCATTCATGTATAGATTTAATTCCAAGGATCACAGACAAAAATTTTGGCACATACTTTATTCTATTCATCCACAATCTAATAAACGCTTTGTGAAAATAGGCTACAGTATTTAAGTCCTGACACATTCATTAAAAGAGGTTCTACTTTTAATGAGACAGTTCCTTCTCTTTCTCTGTCAATGACAGCTTCTATACCTCTTCTCATTTCTTGAGCAGCCTGAATTTCAGTCAGGCCTAATCTTCTCTTGTTAGAGATATCTTAAACACCATTAACAGATTCTGTATGTTCACCAGAGACACCTGAAACAGAATCAATATTATTTTACTTTGAGTACTGAGTAATAATGCAGCTGGTAGAGAGATCTCCTGTGTTTGATGTGTTAGACAGACTGCTTCCAAATAAGGTGTGAATGCTAGTTACTTGATAAGAACAGGTCTTATTTTTACTTACTTGTCCCCCATTCCATCTTAAGTTTTGCACCGTTGCTGGTGCTATTAGCTATTGTCATCTTGACAGATTGGTCGAAATTCCTTCATACACTAAAGTAACATCATTGGGGTTCCCAGTTGTCAATGCTAAATAGACTACCGGTACATCTTCTTGAATCCTGCCTGCCACTGTCAATATTTTGATACACTGTTGTTAGTGTAATGATAAGCGAACACAACAGGGTTACCGGTTAGTGTTTACTAAGATACTTAGAATTGGTACAACACAACTAAAGCAATACTTACTGCTTATATTAAAGATTATACATATTATGTTACCGGTAATATTAAAAATAGCGATGCCATCATAATACACACACACTTGTAATGGCAGCTAATTTGTCCGGGAGGTTGACAAGAGTTATCAGTAAATGAATGTTGAAATTTTCATATTTTATGGGTTTTGTTTACAGCTTTTTTATTCAAGTGGGATTAATTTAACATGTAAAGTTTAATTTAATCCATATAGAATTACCAGTATTGACCATTCCTCAAAATTCCTAACAAAGTCTTACTGGTAATTATGAATACATATGATACATAAAGTAATAAAATTTGTGCTCAATTATCTGACTGGATGGCTGTCTATGCTTGTAAGGACTTAATGCCATCCACTTGAACAATAGTGGTTGCTGAGAACACAACTAGGACTCTTTGAAGCATTTGCTATATCTTACCTCTAGCTTGAATATGATATCTATCAGAGAATGCCTTGAATTCAGGAGAAGCAGATAGCTTTGATATGAACTGAAGCTCTCAAAGCAGTTTCTGGACAATATGTAAGATAGCCTAGGTTTTCTGGCAAATTTTAATCCACTCTTCGGTAATGCTTTGACAGCCTAAAAATTGAAATATCGAATACATGTACTGTAAAACATAACTTGTTTATTGCAAAAGTCATGTAATCATCAGTTGACGAAGCTGAAATATGTAACAAGTAATTGAGAGATCAATGTTAATAGGTTTGGACAAGGACTAGTTGGTGGGTAGGAGACCATATACAGTAGGCTCTGGTTGATAACTCATCAGAACTGTTGCAGTGATTTTGCTTATATTTTTATGTCATTATTATATATTTTTTTAGATGGATTTTGTTAATGTCCAATTCATTTTAGAATGGTTTTGTCATTTTGACATTTCTAATGATAATATAATGTACAAACTAAGAACACAAACCTTTACTAAACGGATGTAAACAGTAACTGTTGGTGACAATATTGTCCCCAAGATGAATAACTGTTGGTGACAAGATTGTCACTGAGGTCAGTTTAATAACTGTTGGTGACAAGATTGTCACTGAATTAAGTATCTTTTGGTGACAAGATTGTCACTGCATTCGGTAACTGTTGGTGACAAGATTGTCACTGAATTCAGTAACTGTTGGTGACAAGATTGTCACTGAGGAAAATGATGGTGTTGTTGACAAGATTGTCACTGAGGTCAATAACTGTTTGTAACAAGATTGTCCCTGAGGTCAATGATGCTGTTGGTGACAAGATTGTCACTGAGGTCAATAACTGTTGGTCAATTTAATTATTGTTGGTGACAAGGTTGTCACTGAATTCAGTAACTGTTGGTGACAAGATTGTCACTGAATTGAGTGACTGTTGGTGACAAGATTGTCACTGGGGAAAATAATGGTGTTGTTGACAAGATTGTCACTGAGGTCAATGATGCTGTTGGTGACAAGATTGTCACTGAGGTCAATAACTGTCAGTGACAAGATTGTCACTGAGGTCAATTTAATAACTGTTGGTGGCAAGGTTGTCACTGAATTCAGTAACTGTTGGTGACAAGATTGTCATTGAATTCAGTAACTGTTGGTGACAAGATTGTCACTGAGGAAAATGATGGTGTTGTTGACAAGATTGTCACTGAGGTCAATAACTGTTTGTGACAAGATTGTCCTTGGGGTCAATGATGTGGTGACAAGGTTGTCACTGAATTCAGTAACTGTTGGTGACAAGATTGTCATTGGATTCAGTAACTGTTGGTGACAAGATTGTCACTGAGGAAAATGATGGTGGTGTTGACAAGATTGTCACTGAGGTCAATAACTGTTTGTGACAATATTGTCCCTGAGATCAATGATGCTGTTGGTGACAAGTTTGTCCCTTAGGTCAATGATGCTGTTGGTGACAAGATTGTCCCTGAGATCAATGATGCTGTTGGTGACAAGATTATCCTTGAGGTCAATGATGCTGTTGTTGACAAGATTGTCACTGAGGTCAGTGATGCTGTTGGTGACAAGATTGTCCCCGAGATCAATGATGCTGTTGGTGACAAGATAGTCCTTGAGGTCAATGATGCTGTTGGTGACAAGATTGTCACTGAGGTCAATAACTGTTTGTGACAAGATTGTCCCTGAGATCAATGATGCTGTTGGTGACAAGATTGTCACTGAGGTCAATAACTGTTTGTGACAAGATTGTCACTGAGGTCAATAACTGTTTGTGACAAGATTGTCCCTGAAATCAATGATGCTGTTGGTGACAAGATTGTCACTGAGGTCAATGATGCTGTTGGTGACAAGATTGTCCCTGAGGTCAATAACTGTTTGTGACAATATTGTCCCTGAGATCAATGATGCTGTTGGTGACAAGATTGTCCTTGAGATCAATGATGCTGTTGGTGACAAGATTGACACTGAGGTCAATAACTGTTTGTGACCATATTGTCCCTGAGGTCAATGATGCTGTTGGTGACAAGATTGTCCTTGAGATCAATGATGCTGTTGGTGACAAGATTGTCTCTGTGTATTTATCCTTCCACTGTTTATCTACTGACATAAGCTTTTATACGCATTTGACCTGTGAAAACTTGATTTGAAAAATAATTGTACAAAGATTTACAAACCTATCACTGTCATTGAACAGAAAATGATCATCAGTGAGTTTCTTCTGAGTTTCTTTGGTCATACCAGTCAAACCCTTTAGTTCCCCTCTAATTTACCTGAGCATTTGACTGACTCCTTCTCCATATCAATACGTTCCTGTTGAATTAATTAAATATATTTATCCTATGTTAGTGAAAAGGTCTTAAGAAACAGATGCGTAATATTTTGAAATAGTTCATATTTAGAAAATTACATTGAAACTCTCATGTCCTGAGGTTAAATTGTGTTCTGTCTAAGCCAGATCCTATTATATTTTTAGCAAAATATTAACTCTACCTGTTTTGTAATAACTGATGGGAAACCATAGCTAGCATGACTTCTACCAACTCAGACTCTTGTCGAAACAATGACCTCAGTGACAATCTTGTCACCAACAGCATCATTGATTTCAGGGACAATCTTGTCACAAACAGTTATTGACCTCAGTGACAATCTTGTCACAAACAGTTATTGACCTCAGTGACAATCTTGTCACCAACAGCATCATTGATCTCAGGGACAATCTTGTCACAAACAGTTATTGACCTCAGTGACAATCTTGTCACCAACAGCATCATTGACCTCAAGGACTATCTTGTCACCAACAGCATCATTGATCTCGGGGACAATCTTGTCACCAACAGCATCACTGACCTCAGTGACAATCTTGTCAACAACAGCATCATTGACCTCAAGGATAATCTTGTCACCAACAGCATCATTGATCTCAGGGACAATCTTGTCACCAACAGCATCATTGACCTAAGGGACAAACTTGTCACCAACAGCATCATTGATCTCAGGGACAATATTGTCACAAACAGTTATTGACCTCAGTGACAATCTTGTCAACACCACCATCATTTTCCTCAGTGACAATCTTGTCACCAACAGTTACTGAATCCAATGACAATCTTGTCACCAACAGTTACTGAATTCAGTGACAACCTTGTCACCACATCATTGACCCCAAGGACAATCTTGTCACAAACAGTTATTGACCTCAGTGACAATCTTGTCAACAACACCATCATTTTCCTTACTAGGATCTAAATCACCAAATACAAGATTGTGGATGTCCCCAAAATCTGGTTTAGGATGCTTCAAAACATCAACTTTGTGATAATCCTTGATAACTGGATCAAGAATGGCAGCAAAAGTTGTGTAGGCATCAGGATCAGATGCATAGATTCCAACACCACTCTTTGGATTCATACATCCTGGAAATTACAGGATATGATGAAGAATATAACATGCTTAAGCTTATGGTAAGCAATGCAGAGAAGTTGATCTATATCTACATGTAATGTATTTTCTAAAAATAGTTATGAGATACTGGTAGTAGGCCCCTATAATAGACTATGCACTGGTACTAGATCTAGATCTAAATTAGCCTACAAAACATGCTGATTTAAATCTAGGAAGTAGACTCCTCCCATGTCTGACTTGAAGTTGAAGCCAGGTAAAACAAACAGTTTAGAAACTTTGGAAGGAAATTTGCTTTGCTGAGTGTGAATGTGTTACCAACAACTACAAGAGGGATCAGTCATTTTGAGCTACTTGTAGATGAGGCCATGGCTACTCAAAAAGTTTGATGAGATGAAATCTAAATTGAAGCTCTTATTGAAGTAGATCCAGATCTATTTCAACCGAAAAATCTTTCAAATTTTGATTTAAAACCTGCCAACTGGCTTAAAACTTACCTGAGCTTATACAGTCTGCCAATGTTCCTCCAAATCTGATTCTGGCATTTTTCAATGATTTAAATATAGATGGTGTCAGATTCTGTTTCAATAACGATTGACAAGTTGAAGCAGATTGAAGTTTTTGAAAAAGCTCATCAGCAGACAAATGTGCACCATGAGCCATGTTGAAAATCCCTTTTGTTTCATACTGTATGACATCATAATTACACCTAGATATCAGCAGATATTTTCATTCGATACTTCCTTATTTTTTTATGAATTAAATTTCATCTTATTTTACTAAATATTTCATGTTTACTTTTGAAAAAAATTCCAGATATGTTCAAGTATTTTGAGTTGCCATAGAAACAACTTTATCATATAGAATCAATTTGAATTGTTTTTGAATAATATTTGCACATACCTGGGTAGGCCTACTTGACGTATGCACTAGGTTTTGCAGACAATTATTGTTAATATGATATTCTAACCTAATCTAATTTTAATTTTTTTTAAGGTAAAAATTGTTGCCATGGTTATGCTCAGTTCACAACAACTTCGCTTTGATGGCGCTTTAAAGCGGCGTACAAAGCGGTACCAAAGCGTAAAAGAGCTCGACTAAAGCGCCAGGGTCGTAATAGATTGTTGGAAAGCTTTGAGCAAAGCTGGATATTCGGCAAGAGCGCCAACATTTTTAAACTGTTTAAAAATTATGGGCGCTCTGTCACGAATTGATTAAAGCACCGAGAACGTATCAAAGCGTAACAAAGTTAAGCAAAGCTTGACTCAAAGCGTAGGAAAGCTTAACAGAGCTTTATTCAAAGCGGGGACCCCAGTCTTCACGGTCTGTCACCACTTGAGCGGCATGAAATCGGCCATTTCGAAATTTTCCAATGCATAACAGAGCTTAACAATGCACAACAGACCTTGATAATCGTATCAGAGCATGATTTAAAGCGCCATAACCGCATCAAAGCTTAATAAAGCTTATCAAAGCGTGATTTATAGCGTAACAAGGCCTGATCAAATCGGGAAATAATTCGTCCCCAAAGCGTAACCAATTCGTATCAGAGCTTATCAGAGCATAACATTACTTAGGAGATCGTGATATTTTTTGAAAAGTAAAAAAAAAATGATGGCGCTTTGCTCGCCGATTTAAAGCGCGGCATTCGCCGTTGGTGTGAACTAGGCATTACTGTTTATTATTTTTAACTTTTTAAATGAAAAATTATTGCCTATGTGAGATTCATGGGATACATCTGTATGTTACTTAAAGAGTTTGATATCAGTGTATGGTCACTTAATCATAGCTTACTTTACCATGTTACCATAGCAATGTGCAACGTATGTAGCCTATATTCCTCTGAGATGATTTTCAGATGAACTGGCCATGGCATCAGAATTTGTTTACTTTTAGGATCCAAATCCACATAATAATTGTCTAGCAGATCACAATCCCATTCACTACTGACTGGGCTAATCTATTGCCTTAACCTAGCTGTACCTACCCATCTTAGACCAACTTTCATGAGCACTGGTCCTGACATGCAGAATTTTTACATCATTTGAGATGTTATTATGGGAATTTTACTGAATCTTCACTAAATATATATGAAAATGCAAAAAACAAAAAATATAGCCTATTTTTTTTCCTTAAATTGTAAAACAGTATCTAAGTGAGAAGCTTTAGTTGTAAAGGTAACATGAGTAGCTCAGGGCTACTTGGAAAGCTGCTCTCAGAATTTCCACATTTGCAGCTCACTTTGGATACCAAACATCTGAACTATGTTTGTAAAGTTACTTTATTTGACTCCAGATTTAATCATGTATTGGTGTAATCATTGTTCTAAGGATCAAAGACTCAGTATACTTTATAGTATATTTTGCTATCTAATTTATTCACCAATCAAAGTTATATAGTAATCATATAATAGTATCACACTTTACTATTCATCCACACACTAACACACACTTAGCGGAGTATACAGTGTTTTAAGTAGAGTTTGAGTTGCTATTACACATTCATCATATGATCTTGCGTAAAAAATTATTCAGAAGAAAGTTTCTTTGGCATTTGATAATAGTTAGACTTGATATTGTAGTAAGACATTACAATAGTATGTTCTTGTTTTTAATTTCATTTATACATTTCTCTATAAGCAAATTTCGAAAGAAAAAATATTAAATTCAGTAATTAGATTAATGTAGTTTGTCAAAGGCCTCATTTTCTCAGTCTATTTGGAAAATAAAGAGAATGGGAACTTCTTCTTTTTATGAGATAATTCCTTTTCTCTGTCAATGACAGCTTCTACACCTCTTCTCATTTCTTGAACAGCCTGAATTTCAGTCAGACCCAATCTTCTCTTGTTAGAGATATCATAAACACCACCAACAGATTCTGTATGTTCACCATGGATACCTGAAACAATAATATATAACTTAAAAAGGTCATATTTACACCTGGATCACTTCAAGTAGGCCATATTGGTATATATCAGATAATTATGCACCTGGTAAAAGGCCTCCTGTGTTAATGATGTCCTTTCTGCTACCAAATGATATATAAATATTATTGTCATATTTACATGCTGATTACAAATTTGTCAAAAAAGTCAATCATTGAGAAAGTTGGTTTCCGATATTTGGACAGGGTGGGATGGGAATTGATGCAAAACAAATTAGCAGAAGAACAGTTATGTTTTTCCCGATTAAACGTCACTGAGAATGCAATTATTAAACTGCTATATCTTACCTCTAGCTTGGATATGATATCTATCACAGAAAGCCTTGAATTCAGGAGAAGCAGATAGCTTTGGTATCTTGATATGTACTGAAGCTCTCAGAGTGGTTCCTAAATTACTTGGACAGAATGTAAGATAGCCTAGGTTTTCTTTCCTGGCAAATTCCAATCCACTCTTCTCTAAAGCTTTGACAGCCTATAAAATTGAAATATTACAATTAAGTTTCTTTTTACTTCACTTGAACTAGAAAAGTTGAAAACGAGTCATCTTTCCCCCTTAATTGTCAGTTGACCCAGCTGTACATGGGTACAGATAATTAATTCAGTTGCTTTCAGTTGCAATGTAGGCCTGAATTTGTTATCCTTGTAAATATTTTTCTTCTGTGTCTCTATTTTTAAATAATTATTAGCGCATAAGTTTTTTTGTCAGTGTTCAATTTCCCTTAAAATGGTTTTCAGATTGATGCAAATATAACACACAAACCTTTACTAAACGGCTGTAAACTTCTCCTAAATTACCACCTTTCTGCATTGAAATAAATCGCAGATGATCCTCTTCATTAACCCAGACCAAGAAATTTTTAGCATGGTTGAAGTAAATACCACGTCCAATTGGCCAATCATTGTAGCCTCCAGCTTCCCGTAAAAATCTGCAAAAGTGTAAGATTGTGTCTGTCAACTCGCCATTCTTTACTATAGAATAACAATAACTGTTGGTAGCAAGACTGTTACTGAGGTCAATGATGCTGTTGGTGTATAGGATAGTCTCTTTGATGAATAATTTGAGGTCAATAACTGTTAATGACAAGATTGTCCCTGAAGTCAATGACTCCATTGGTGACAAGATTATCACTGAGGTCAATAACTGTTGGTGACAAAATTGTCACTGGGTTAAATGATGGTGTAGGTGTATAGGATAGTCTCTGTAACCAATGATTCTGTTGATGACAAGATTGTCACTGAGGTCAATAACTGTTAATGACAAAATTGACTGGGATCAATAACTGTTGGTTACAAGTTTGTCAATGTTGCTGTTGGTGACATGTTTGTCACTGAGGTTTATAAATGTTAATGACAAGATTATCACTGAGGTGAATGACTGTCTTTGTGACAAGATTGTCTCTGAGGTTAATGAATCTCTTGGTTATTAGTTCAATAACTGTTGGTTACAAGATTATTCCTGAGGTCAGTAACTGTTGGTTACAATATTATTCTTGAGGTCAATAACTGTTGGTGACAGGATTATCACTTAGGTTTACGACTCTCTCTATGACAAAGATTGTCTGTGAGGTAAATGACTCTCTTGGTGACAAGATTGTCACTTAAGTCTATGACACTGTTGGTGCACATCTGAGGTCAATGACTGTTGGCTACAAGATTATTCCTGAGGTCAGTAACTGTAAGATTGTCACTGAGGTAAATGACTCTCTTGATGACAAGATTATCACTTTGGTCAATGACACTGTTGGTGCACATCTGAGGTCAGTGACTGTTAAAGGGACAAGATTCTGTTGAAATTCTTCCTCTGTTTTGTATATTATAAGCAATTGACCATTTAAAACTTGATTTGATATAATCATTTCTTAAATAATTGTATGTAGATTTACAAACCTATCACTGTCATTGAACAGAAAATGATCATCAGTGAGTTTCTTCTGAGTTTCTTTGGTCATACCAGTCAATGGGAAATATTCACCAGCCAATTCACCCTCTAATTTACTTAAACAATTGACAGTCTTCTTCTCCATATCAATTCGATCCTAGTATATAAATGTAAACAGTCTCAAGTATTAACAAATGAGTGATAGAGCCCTTAACAAATGCCAAATAATCCTATAACATTTACTGAGCTACTGAGAATGACTGCCATTGTTCTCTATTATATTATGATTCAACTATTAGCTCTACCTGTTTTGTAATAACTGGTGGGAAACCATAGCTAGCATGACTTCTACCAACTCGAACTCTGGTCGAAACAATCATCTCCTTACTAGGATCTAAATCACCAAATCCAAGATTGTTGATGTCGCCAAAATCTGGTTTGGGATGCTTCAAAACATCAACTTTGTGATAATCCTTGATAACTGGATCAAGAATGGCAGCAAAAGTTGTGTAGGCATCAGGATCAGATGCATAGATTCCAACACCACTCTCTGGGTTCATACATCCTGGAAAAGAAATAGTTGATAGAAAATAGATAACAAGACGTTGTGTGTTCTTTTGAAATTGAGTTAAATTAAGACTTTGGAATCGTACTCATTGGCCTAATAAGTCATTTAATAGATCAGAGCTATATTTGAGCTTATGTAGCCTATGATTCTCATTAGGATGGTGCAAAGGATATTTAAAAATATGGAGTGATTAAATTAATTGCATGTCTATAAAGTGAAATAAAATATGGATTTTCTTTATTTGATTTATGGGTGGGGCTGGTAAAAATGGTCTATTTTTGATATTGTGATCAGAAAATTTACATCATCAGTTCATATTATATACAACTAGTTTAAGTTCACAAAAAACTCTTGAATTTTGAGAAGGTTTAAAGCAGGAAATAGAGTAATGACTCAATATGGGAGAAATCATTTTGATATATTGTTTTCATTATATTGTAAATCAGACGCTTTAGCTGTATAAACAGACATGAGTGGCTAATAATATCAAGGAAAAGAACTTTGTACTCTATGTAACAGTTTGACCTTTTTTGATAATGTCAGTATCATATCTGTGACCTGCATATTAATTTGATTGCTTTGATTACATGTTGTAATTAACACAGATTTAATATAATAGATTGGTCTGCACTTAAGTTACCATGGAAACTGATGGATTTCCTGAATTTTTTTATAAATTGTAAATTTTGACCCAAATTGTATTAAATTTGACTATTTAAACTGACTGTTTTTTGGCAATAATTAGATTAATATTGATAAATTGGTATATTTTAGGAAAAGATAAAATTTGAAAATGACTTCATTCAGTTCTATCTTGATATTCTCTAGGTCAGGAAACAGTCCTGCACTTAATGTGATTGATAATGTGCAGATGTAGGACATGAAATGACCTTGTCACTAGACCTACCAACCTGATCGAATACAGTCTGCTAAGGTTCCTCCAAATTTACTTTTCACATTCTTCAATTCATTATATATATTTGGTGTTAAATGTTTTTTTAACAAGGATTTACTCTTGTTTGCATCCTGTAATCTTTTCCACAATTCTTCAACACTTAAATTAGAGGCCATTTTGAATGTTATATGCTGCACTTTTGTTATCTCGCCAACACAAGTTTTATTTATTTAACCGATAGAGAGTGGTTGCACTAGTCCTAGTTAGAATAAACACCACAATCTCAAATTATCCAACAGATATTGATTGGTAGTAGATACCAGGGAGTTGTTTTGACGCCTGTTGATCAGCTGGAAATATATTTTTCCGGACTTGCTCAGACCTACTAGAGTTTGTATTGGATAAAAGCATATGATCTAATATAATCTTATCTTGAATTTCAATGTGACCTTCATTGATTGTTATGTGACTGTAGTCAAGTAGACCTATTCAGTTCTTCTCACGTATCTATAATATTTCAAATTGTTCCTACCCAACTTTATGCCTTTTATTCTTATGTAATTTAAAACTATTTAGTTTTTAATTGTGTGATTGGGAAAAAAATTAAGTTTAAAGAGAGTTGACCATGTATTTAATTTAAACCAACTTAAATCTAGTTTATAGGAGAGTCGAGTAGAAGTTAGTCATGAATTAGATATACTTAATGGAAATAATTCACCACCAGTACTGTTGAGTTTTTTTTAACGAACTTTTATATTTTTAATTTTACATCAATGGTCACATAGACTTACTAGAAAAGATGCAAATAATTGTTTGAATGGTCAGTGTCAATAGTCCATTAAGGTAAACTAATTTCTGGGTAAATTTCATTAAATCATGGTTTCAATAAGGCTAAAATTGTCCTGGATAATTGTTGCTCTTAACACATTAATAAAGATTTGAGCAACAAATGTGCAACAATGGGTCATCATTTCAGACATGTTTACTTTAAAACACCTAAATCACAAACATTTCAGTTTCAGCACCCTGACTTCAGTCCTCTTTCGCCTTCCTTCTTGTCTTTTTTACTGTTTTTAAGCACATTTAGCTCTTACTCTTTACTCATAGAAGATAACAGTTTATGTCATTGAATTCACACTATTCAAAATGATAATTGGATTATGGAGGCCTTACATAATGTTTCTCAATAGTGTTTTGTGTCTAACTTATTATTATTTGAATAGTGGTTGAAGATATCAATGTGATACTCTTTTATTACCTGACAAAGGTAGTACACATAAATGTGTTAGTGATTTCAGGGCTATGTACAAGTTTTAACATGAGGTGTATTAGATATATATTTTATTATAAAGGATCTTAACTTCTTACTGAGCTTACTCTAAATATTGTCAGAGGCTGATATGTTTTAACCCAATCCAAAAATCATAAAAAAATGCCCATTTTGGGAGGTGAAAATTCACAAATTGCCTGTTACTAATCAAAAAGTTAATTTGGCTTTGTTGTTAGCTCCTCAACAGTCAAAGGCTGAAACCTGAACAAATTTTGAAATAAACTGTTCATGAGATTTCACTGTTTGAATTGCTGTAGGAATGGATATAGACTTATCTCTAGGAAATTTTACTTTCAATAATTGTGAAAAAACAGTCAAAGTAAACATTCAGAACAGAATAAAAAGTAACTGACATTGTTCTTTGAATAAGTCATGGAATGTCAGGTAATGGGCTTTTAGCCAGTTGTAGAATAAAACACTAAATGCATGTTCTTTCACTGTGAATATAAATGCTGACAATTAGATGTATTACACATGTTCTTTATATTATATCATGGTATTTATTTCTTTCTGACATTTCAGCCTAAATAATAGTTGTTATGTATTTGTAACTTTCTGTAGATGTTATGTCAAAAAGTTTCTTGGCTGGATATTTGATTTATAGATTTTAACTCTTTACCAAAATTTCTATCTGGAAGTCAAAATCAATATGCCAACAAAAAACCATGAGGAAGGTGTGAAACGAGTCCATCCTTAATTTAAAAAATGAATGACAAAGCAAGGTGTCCACTGAAACAATTAGCATTTTCGGCCCAGATTACTGCATCTATCAAGATGGCACTCCTGAACTTAGAAACAAGTATTATACAAGTAAACCTCAAGAGATTTTCTATGAGCTTTCAAATGGTCAAGATGTGCAAATTAGCTGTAATAATATCTTTATACTAACCTGATCTAATACAGTCTGCCAATGTACCTCCAAATTTACTCCTGCTATATTTCAAAGATTGAAATATGGAGGGTGTAAGATTCTGTTTCAATAAAGATTGACAATCTGAAGCAGATTGAAGTCTTTGCCATAGTTGATCTACGTTTAATGTTGAAGCCATTTTTAAACACTGAATCCACTTCCAACCCTTTTCTGAAAGTACTGAAATATGATAGAAAGTTTGTGAAAATGTTCATATTTATAGAAACTATAAACATAAGACTATTAACACAAGGCCAATAGCAAGGGTCAAATTTGATGTTGCCTAGCACCACTATTCAGATTAGTATTACTGTCAGATATTACATAATAATTGAATAAATGTAAGATATGCAAAATGGGGATTTTCCTAATTATTAATCCAGATTAGGATTAGGCCTATGTAAAGGTCAAAATAGTAGTTTGAAGGGTTAATTTAAAGAAAAACTTCCACACTGTAATATTTAAACAGAATATTCAGAAGCTAACATTGCTTATTTACCTAAGCTTAGGTCAAGATAGTCCCCACAAGTTTTATTTCAATAGTATCTTGGTAGTTTTTGAAACAGCGACTTTGTTTGCTACAATCTAGACTCGATAAAAACCGAAGATAGATTATTTATTTACAATTATAGATGGAAAAAGAAAAGGCTAATGCTACTGTCTTGTCAAAATACACATTGCTTGGTGTTGCCTTTCTTCAATAGCCCAATTAGATGCTAAAAAGTTGACCTTTTGGAATACCATTTCATTTCACAAAATTAATCTAAAGTTAAATTAATGAATGATGCTAGTTGTCACATCATTAAATTGTGCATTTTGAGTTGTCTTAAATGATTGTTCTTATTTAGTGTTGGGATGTGATGATGTGCATAAGGTTTTTTTTAAGTTTTTTTCTCACAAAATACTATTGAACTATAATAATGAGAAATATGATCTTGATAATAATATTGATATAGATCTTTAAGCACGATGATTAGTTACTATTGTTAATTGTCTAAAATCCTGTTATATAAATTAGTATGCTTCACTAGATAATTAAAGTGGCAATATATCTTAGAATATGTTGTTGGAGAAAGTGTGTTTATTAGGAAAGCTTATAGCTTCTATTTGCACCATTCCAGTTTCCTGCCTGATGTCTGTGGTTTGTTATTCCAAACAAACTGGAGCAGATAGTGATGTCACTTCCTATTTACAGAACAGGGCAAATTAAAACTATTATACATTAAATTCTGGAACCCTCTTTTAAATCCCTTAATCTTAAAAATTTTGCCAACATAGGTAGTACAATAGTTAGCAGAACCTCTAAATTGTTTTATTAGAGGGGCTGATAGGCATCTAATCGTTCAGATGGGACAATAAACCAAGGCACCTTGTGCTACAGGCTGTGCATGTTAAAGATCCCTCGACAGTTGGAAATTGAAAAAGAGCAGGCTAGTGCCTGTGACCTTGAATTTCCCTCATTGTACCCTGCATGGCGTTGTAGGATGTAAAACTCCATTCATTTCATATTTTCATTTTTTTATTGTGGTTGCCCCTGTCGGTCCATCCATCGGTCCGTCCGTTCACATTTACCTCTTCCTCACTCTATAGGCTACAATTCTCTATTGATTCTTTTGATCTTTTGTATGTGTGTCAATATCATTATGAAGATGTGCACTATTGAATTTGGTGATGATCCAATGATTTTCTTGAGAGATATCGCATAAAACTCTGATATCGCGTTCGTTTTTTTTTCTCACTTTTTTGGCTCGTGCTCACTCTACAGACTAGAATTCTCTATTGATTCTTTTGATCTTTTGTATGTGTGTCAATATCATTATGAAGATGTGCACTATTGAATTTGGTTTTCTTTAGAGATATCGCGTTTTTTAACTTTTTTAGCTCGTGCTAACTCTACAGGCTACGATATAGAGTTTGTTTTACATTTCACATTTAGCTCTTTATCAAGCTGCTGGTGGGCGTATTCGCTTGCGAGACTTGCCGCAAGCCTATGTTTTAAATTATCTTTATTTACCTTACATTGCAGAATAGCTGACAATGTAGAACAGTGGTTTTCAACCTGTTTTGTATGTGTACCCAAATTTAATCAGCAGTCACCATATGAGATGTTGTATAAATTGTAGTTATTTTTCGCAGCATGTGACAGGCTGTGACACATCAAATGTCCCAAAAGAAAAGTGCCATGTTCCCACCTTGGGACATGTTCCTGTGGTTGAAAACCTACAATGTAGAATATCTGTGGAATTGACATTGCATCATATTTGCATGGATGACATTACAAACAATTTTTAATGGATAACATTACAATTTATTTGACAAAACATATTTATATTGATATTACAATAACATTACAATATATTTATATTGATATTACAATAACATTACAATATATTTATATTGACATTACATACTCTTGACTGACATTACAACTTTTACTTTTTATTTCTTAAACGAAATACATAATACTGGTGGTACAGCTTGCTGTGTAAGTTATGTTTTCTTGTGAATGTATATCAAAGATTTTCTATGTATTACTATACATCAATAGTACAGTGAATTTAAGATAATGAATTTATATTTGTAGCTGGTCGTCCTGATATTTTACGAGCTGCTGTAGTACCATTATTACCTAATGCAGAATGTGATAGTTTGTACATTGGTGATATAACTAGCAGAATGTTGTGTGCAGGCTATATAGAAGGTGGTATTGATACATGTCAAGGTGATTCTGGTGGACCACTTGTTTGTAATATTAATAGTAAGTTAAAAATTGAATTAAAAATAGATGACTTTGGTAGATGGTGTCTAGGGTACACTCATTGTCATTTGAACGACACCCCCTTATAAGTGAAAACATTGGACTGTTTGTTAAGGTGGTGATTTTTATACGACCACATGAAATGGGGGTGTATATTGCCGTCACCCATGTCCATCCATCCGTCCGTCCGTCCACAATTGCTCGTAAACACTCTACAAGACACAATTCTTGACGGATTTTGACAAAACTTGGTGTGTTTTATAATCACCCAAGGATGAATCCTATTGAAAATCAGAAGAATAGAAAAATATTTAGTATAAGTTATTGCCCTTGTTCTTGAAAATGCGTTCAATTTTTAGCTCGTAAACACTCTAGAAGGCACAATTCTGGACGAATTTTGACGAAACTTGGGGTGAGTGTTCGTTATCACTCAAGGATGAACCCTATTGAAAATCAGAAGAATGGAAAAAGATTTAGTATGAGTTATTGCCCTTGTTCTTGAAAACACCTTCAATTTTTAGCTTGTAAACACTCTAGAAGGCACTATTCTCAATGGATTTTGATGAAACTTGGCATGAGTGTTGGTTATCACCCAAGGATAAAGCCTATTGAAAATCAGAAAAATCAAGAAATATTTAGTATGAGTTATTGCCCTTGTTCGTGAGAACACTTTCAAATTTTAGCTCTTAAACACTAAAAGACATGATTCTTGCCAGATTTTGACAAAACTTGAAGGTTGAATATTTGCCTTCTAGAGTTTTCACAAGCTAAAAATTGAACACGAACAAGGGCAATAACTCATACTGAATATTATGCAGTATCGCCCTAAAGAGTTCAAAAGAAGTGTATGACTGAAGGTTGAATATTTCATACTGGTGATTGTTACTGTACTGCTAAATATTTTATTCAAAATCAAAGCTGCCAGTGGGCGTATATTACCTTGCCTGGCAAGCTACCTTTATTCAATCAAATAAGGGGTTGCCTGAACTCTAATATTGATGAGTTTTCTGCAAACCAAACTGTGAAAATTACAATATTGGTTCTTTTGAAAATCAACAGGAATATTTCTTACTTCGATCCCTTTGTCATACATTCATTATAGCTTCTATTAGAAGTTTCATATTTGAGTGATTCTGTCTTTTCAAGAAAAAAATGTGCATGAAATATGACTTTGCTATCACACATATCATTCAAGGCAAACAATATTTGCAATGGTGAAGACACATTGTGGTCAAGTTTACACATTCTGGTCAAGTTTACACATTCTGGTCAAGTTTTTGTAGTGAAAAAGCTTAAGTGTTCCAAATAAACATACAAAGGCTAAAAAAATCTTTTTTTGTAAAGATGAAGATGGTAAGAATCATATTTGTTGGATTCAAATATACTTTATTCTAAAACATCATTTCATTTCAGATAAATATACATTAATGGGTGTAACATCATTTGGTAATGGATGTGCTAAGCCTTATATACCTGGTGTTTATACTCGAGTCTCTTCCTTTATTGAGTGGATTAATGAGAAAATAAACAGATATTAAATATGGCATCAAAGAAGTAACAGAACCTGGTGTAGAGCTGCTCTGTGAACAAAACTCATATTATTCAAAGTGTATAGACACTGATGATTACATGTGAAGGGTCATCAAAATTCTAATTTTAAACTGAGATAATTTAGCTAATCCAAATTTTCTATTCATGAAACTGGCCAATAATATGTTTTTGTAAAACTGCAATCAGCAACTTTAATGAGTAGGCCTACTTCTTCTTAAAATGTATGCAAATATAATTTCAACATGAACTGTGGAAAAACTTAGGTTAACACTAAATTTTAACTGATTTGTCTGAATTTTGAAGGTTTATATCTGAATTTACACTACTCAAATATTGACTGATTGGATTCCAATTGATTATATCTGACTTTACAACCCTTTTCAGCATTTTTTAAAACCATTACAAATATTAATAATAACTTTGGTTCAGATTAATCTTATGGTTAATGTTGATGTCTTCAGGTTTATTTCACACCAATTGATGCAAGACAAACTTTAATCAGATGCCAAGATATGTGTATATTATACAAATGGTATTATATGAGATAAGTATATTAATAAACAAACAGAATAATGGTTATCTTTTCTATCTCTATGTCTCTACTGGACATACTTATTCAGGACATTTATTGCTGCATGTTGACAGTGTTACACAAGCTGTGTTAGTTCCTATTTTGATGTATATTTTGTTCATACATGGCTTTTTCTATGAAATATTTTCTGAAAAATTTGTGAGAACAAATCGTAGTGGTACTAGATGTTAGGTAACAATCTGATCAAATTCAGAATACTTTCTTTTATCTGATCTTGAAATGGGAAGAAAGGCAAATTGTAGTCTAATCTGAATTAGGTTACATAAGGGTAAGCATGCTTTTCTTCTATCTATTTCTTCTATTCTTCTCCTTAGTATCAAATATGTCTTTTTTAAGAAATATTTTATCAATGAAACAGTTTACTTGATCACATCTGGTAATCCTTGGTCAACAGTAATTTAATCATTGACTACTATTGTTAAGATAATAACAATAAATATTCTATTAACCTGTAGTAAAAATTTGTGTTAAAAGTAATCTTGATATTTGTATTAAGTTTTCCAATAATTCAAAAACTAATAAATGGTGAGGGATTGAGAAGAAAGGTCATACATTCCAACACGTTTGTCAAAACAAGTGTTAAATGTCATTAGTAGCTTACAGTACACTATGAATAACATGTAGTATTGAAATAAGACTGTCAACAACCATTTTACATCATTTAAATGTACATTAAACCAAACTTTTTAACATTAATTTGTCTCTTCTTGAAATAATTTAAGGGAGTCACAGTCCAATTTCTTAAAATCACTGGTAACTACTCTGTATGTCGATAAGTTTCTTTCATATTGGTTTATTTTGTTGTCCAATCATATTTAAGTCTCAGTAATGGGAATTTTTAGCTGAGCTAATTAGTAATAGTGTTTTTTGCTCACTGTTAAAATGTGAATCTTCAAAGCCATGCGTGTCCAGAATTATCAGCGTTTGAATGTTAAAATGACGACTCGTCAATTAAAGATACTCTGTGATATATAGAAAAGACATATTGAAATAGTAAGTAAAATTCTTAGTTTGATGTATTTTTAAAGGATTAATGTGATTTCTAGTACTTCTGAATACTATTTAAATATATTCAAGACTGAAATCAACCCCCCAAAATGATGCCCTTTAAGATGTCTCTTTAAGAAAAGTAATATGAAATATCTGTCACATGATTTTGTTCAGTAAGATCACATTTATGTCCATTTGTAATATCTTGACTTCACATAGAAAATAATCTTATCTTGTTCTATTTGGAATATCTTGCCTTCACATAGAAAATAATCTTATCTTGTTCCATTTGGAATATCTTGCCTTCACATAGAAAATAATCTTATCTTGTTCCATTTGTAATATCTTGCCTTCACATAGAAAATAATCTTATCTTGTTCTATTTGTAATATCTTGCCTTCACATAGAAAATAATCTTATCTTGTTCTATTTGTAATATTTTGCCTTCACATAGAAAATAATCTTATCTTGTTTTATTTGGAATATCTTGCCTTCACATAGAAAAGAATCTTATCTTGTTCTAATTGGAATATCTTGCTATCGGCAACACTGTATAAGTTAGATTTAATTCTGTTCTATTTGGAATGTCTCTCTTCCATTTAGAACAAATTAATTGCTGTTAGCCATAGTAGTTCATTTTGGTATACATTGCAATGAGTTTGATTTGGAATTGAAAAAAATAAAGACATAATTTATAAATTTTATATAGAAATAGAATCTTTATTATATATAATAATCATAATTTTGTATAAAAGACATAATATAAATTTGTTGATAGAAAAATCATCTTTTTTAAAAATTTCATTTGTAATGTACATAAAAAAATGTTCAACAATATACAGCACAGTTCTATATACAATATAAAAGGACATGAGATTCTCTCGTAGTGGTTGTCATGAAAGACATTCCATCTATTTATAAATTTTATACATTTCATTATAAAAAGCTAAAATATTTTGAGATAAACTATAATAATTGAGACACTTTAATATAACTATATTTCTTAATAACAGTCAGTATATTTTCTGAGTGACAAATAACATTTTTAAAATTTAACAATTTTGAAAACAATTTCTGCACAAATATAATCTCAGAATTCAAAATAAGGAATGTGGTAAAATTTGCATAAAAATTGCATAATAATTAACATGTACATAAATTTGAATTAACAATGCTATCATAATTATTGTGCTTTAAACATAAAAAATAAACATTTTCAATTCTAATCAGCAGAAGCACCACTTGGAAAACTAACTTAACATTTAATTTGACAAAACATTAAAAAAAACTAAGTAACAAACATTTGGTTGTGTAAATTGTAAGTATTTTGGAAGAGGCATTAAAATATATTCTAACAACTAAGATAGTCTATAGAATTGTCATATCTTCTTTTGCTATTCCTGTTGGGGCATTGCGTTGACTATCCCTGAAAAAAGAATAAATGGTACCATTAATAATCAATTCCAGGATCCAGTAACAGAATTGAATTATATTGTGTTTCTAATCACTAGAACTGTCAATTTTTGATTTCATAAAACAAGTGAACAGCTGGTGTATGTCGAGATTCAAAATCTATTATTGTAAGAGACGGGTGAATAGTTATTCATTGTTCTATTAAAGTATTTAAAGAAGGTAGTTTAAAGATAAAGTTTATTCTATACACTAAAACCATGGCAACATTATTTATATTTACAGTGTAAATAACCAACATAGAATGTATATATAGCTCCAATCAATATGGCCCATTTTAAATCCTATCTAAACAGTTAACAAACATTTTGTTTATTTACGTATTTGATGTATATAACATTGTGACAGATTCAGAAGGTATAGGATGGTTGTCTAGGGGTGTGGTTCACAGTCTTTTAGTGAAATAAATTAACTTGAACCTGCTATGCTTAAGAAGGATTTAATCAACAATATAGCTACCCTACCTAATTTTCTTATGTATTCAATTCTTGTTTCACATACAATTACAACAAGATCTGTCATTTAAGCTTAAGACAAGACAGAATAGTGCAAGTTTTTACACGAAACAAATCTAATGAAAATATCATCCTCCATATAAGAAAGTCAACATCAAATATAAGCAGAGCTGTAGATTATGTTTAATAAAGTTGCTTAGAGCTACTTACTGATCATAAACTGAGTTGAAAGCTGCATTCACTCGAGGATCAGAATTTGAATATTGAGCCTCCATATTATCACCACTGAATGTCATATTTATTTCACCTAAATCTTGTACTGCCTCATCGGGTGGTACATACATATTTAAACTCTAAAATAAAAAAGACAAGAATATATGGCAGCTTCCAAGTTCTGTATTGCCCACTGAACAGGCAAATTGTTAAAGGTATTATTACTCTTTACAAAATATTACAATACTCCGAAATTTGAAAAAAAAACCACCCCAAAACAATAGGAAAACTCATTAAATTAGCACACAATGTCTTGACAAAAAATACTGCACAGAAAATGAAATGGTACAGTATTAGTCAAAGTATGTGAAATTGGATTGGTTTAAGTCACAAGTATTTAACATTTACACAGCTCAGACACTCATTACTTAACTATCTTTTCAGTAAAACATAATCATTCTCGTTTAAATAACACATATCTAATACTTGATTTCACAATAAACATTCAATTTTTTAATACTTTTTTTTGAAAATCAGTATGAATTTTATCATAATCTATAACTAGTTTAGTTAATCAAATTTTAGTTTACTGCTTTTCCAAAAATTGCTTTTGGTTTTCCTTGTCAAATAGATCAAAAATCAAGAATTGTTTTCTTGTCTTTCATAGATTGTAAGATCAAATAAAGAGTTACTCTTGTAAAAATTTCCTCTATATTACCACATGTACCTAATTCTTACAAAAATAAAACTTCATCTTACCTGTGTTTCATATTCTCTTAAGAAATTCTGGGGTTCTACAAATTCTGGATTTTCATAAGATTGTGAATAAATTCTGTATTGACTGATGAATTTGATATATCTGTAAGAAAATTGATATATTCAGTATAATAACATTTTAAAACATATAATATCATTTATAGATAAATCATTAGTTAAAACACTAGGAGTCAAAACTTAGCTTATATTATTTGAGTTCCACTATACAATAGAAATGGTAAATGTCAAAGCATAAAAAATGAAAGGACATACCTGGAGTATGTAAAGATTATAACAATTATTCCTACGATACTAAGTAATATGATAATAGCAGCTAAAGCAACAAGGGCTGCCCATGGATCGTCCATCCACCATATATAGGATTTAGTAACCATTGTTCTCACTAGTGAGGCTGCAGCATAAGGCACTCGGATAGTTTCAACAACCAACTGTGTTTCACTAAGAACTTTTCCTATTTCATCAACTTTACCCAAAACTC